TCTCATGATGGCTTATTTCTTCATGTGATAAGTAATTTTTTGTTGTGATCTCATTTCCAGTGGGGAATGTTTACTCCATGGGAATTCCTTGCACCTTGAACAGTTTTTAATTTTCCTATAGATTTGTATTCTCTATTCATTTCTGGCATCTAGGGATTTCTCTTTTTTATATTTTATCAAGCATATTTATGTTGTTGTTGCATAAGGCAGGACTGGACTATTCAGATTTAATCCATCAAGTTGCTGAAAGTCCCATGTAATAAAAAAGATGAATTTTCTGTCTGACTGTTTGATTTATAATTGAATGAAGAGAGATGTAGCTAATTTAATGTAAAGTAAAAATTACATGTGTAAAGTCGGAATTATCAACTAAAATTCTCCATTTCCTCATAGGAGAAAATTTTAGCAAAGGCAGGGACTTTTGTTGTTAAATGATACAGTTAAAATCTGTGATAGATCTTGTTTGAGAGTTTTTTCAATTTTTTTTTAGAAATTGTTTAACTTTATTTTCCAAGTATTACTACACCCTATTTAAAAAGAGCCATTTGTGTCTTGGTTCTTCCACCTCTCATTTTATTCCATTAGCAGTGTCAGGACTTTAAGGCATTTTTCAAATGATATTATCAATCTCTGCACTATATGGAGTTACGGGATTTTCAACTGTAGAGAGTGCCAGACCCCTTTTAGAGAGTGAGTATGTTAGTACTCACTAGATTACTAATTAGATTTGTTTCCTTTGTTAGGTTATATTTCTTTTGTGCGTATATTTATTTCGTGATAGATTTTAAACCCAGTGGCATTGCATAAAGCTTAAAGGTATTTTATAAGAATTGGGTTTAACTTTGCTTAGTCAAATTTCATGTACTAGCTGCAAAAGCAATGAAAATGATATTTTAGAGAAAAACTTGCTGTTGCAGCAAATATCTATATTTAATAAAGAGAAAGTTAGTAACACACTCAGCAGGGACTCCATAAATAGTTGGTGGAAAGAGCAATGGCCTGGAGATTTGGAAAGCTGTACTTGGACTTTGATGTGCCATTATCTAGCTGTACCACCTTGGGCAAGTCACTGAAGATCGTCCCAGTTTCCTCATCTCTAAAAGAGGTCTGGCACTCTCTACAGTTGAAAATCCCATAACTCTGGATAGCGCAGATATTGATAATATCATTTGAAAACTGCCTTAAAGTCCTGACATTGCTAATGTAATAAAATGAGAGGTGGAAGAACCAAGACACAAATGGCTCTTTTTAAATAGGGTGTAGTAATATTTGGAAAATAAACAACTTCTAAAAAAAAATAGAAAAAACTCTCAAACAAGATCTATCACAGATTTTAACTGTATCATTTAACAAAAAAAGTCCTTGCCTTTGCTAAAATTTTCTCCTATGAAGAAATGGTGTTTGAACAATTGGACATCTATATTAAAAATAAGAACATATACAAGAACCTACTCAAAATGGATTAAAAACTAAATGTAAAACATAGAACTATAAAACTCTAGAAAAACACATATAAGTAAATCTTTGTGACCTTAGGATTATGCAAGCTTTCCTAGATACCACCAAAGGCACAATAAAAAGAGAAAATGTTGATAAATTGGACTTCATCAGAATTAAGAATTTCTTCTTGAAAGACACAATTAAGAGAATTAAAAGACAAGCCAAAGACTGGGCCAAAATATTTGCAA